AGGATCAGCTAAAAAGCTCAGAGAGTTTTTAGGAGCAGTAACAGCACTGAGGGAGGCGTCCTTGTCTGTCTCTGGCCACTGCAAGAACTAATTCAGGAACATAACAATATGTTTTGAAAAAGCTTCTTTCAGAAGTTCTTTGGAAATAATTCGTCATCTCCCTTTTTTTTTTGTGCTGGAGTTCGCTTCTTGAAGCTAAAAGTTGTTTTTTAGTCCCACCTGTGCTGCACCTGGAACCCATCGGTGGTCCTCAGTGCCTTCATCAGTCTGTAATGAATTCAGTGTAGGGAGCAGAGGACAATACAATACACAGGCAGATTTTCATGATGATAATCATAATAAATGTCCATAAACGTGTTTGCTCCCTCTGTCCTGCTTACGCTTCATGCCGCTTTCCTCATGCAAACTACAGGTAGATTAACTGGAGTAAGAATACTGACACCTGTTGTGGCATGCGTAGGTTGGAGGGAATTAAGACGTTGTTCTGCTCTCTCTTGATAAACATATTTAATAGGTCTGTCGCTGGGGAAAAGAAAAAGTTTGTCTTGGTGTTTTCCAGGTTTGGCAGTTCCGATTTGTCCTCAAGCTACTATGACGGCCGCGTGGGAAAGGAGGCTGTCGTTAAGGTGAGGGTTTTCTTGGTGCTTTTCTTTGAGCTGGCTTTGTTGCTCGATCGTTGAGGCGTTTGGTGTGGACAGCCTGGGCCACGTTTGCAGGAAAACAGTGTTCTTTCAGGCCCCATAAAACAACTCGAAAATACAGGTAGAGAGCATTTAAACACGTATTAGCAGCCCTTTTTATACAATCCGTATGTGACACGCAGAACAGAGTACGACTTACAGCTCAGTGCTGAAGAGCAGCGTTAATAAGATTCCTGTATTTTAGGGAGCTGGGTACAGAGGAATTGTAATTATAATCATTTGGTGAAGGTATCCAAATAAGTACCTTTATAGCAGTAAAAGCAAGCGAGCCGTTATTTCTACATTTAACACTTGTACATATTTATTTAGTTAAATCAGCCATTGTACACATTGCAGCTATATATTGTTAGTGTTGTATTTTTTTTTTTTTAGTTTTTAACTATTACATGCCCTCATAGATATATTCAATTAGTGTTATCACCATGGGAACAAGATGCTGATTCGTCAACTTAAAATTCACTTCTTCTCACAGTATTCAAGTTCTTGGATAACACAGCAAAAACTCAAAATAAGAGGTGAATAACCATTATGTTGTTACACAGAACATCATCTGCACCGCAAATAACACAACAGAAACGCATTTCTTTAGAGCCCCATCCTTGAAGATCATCCTGTGCTGTCTCTGACAATAAGAAAGCCATGATGTGTCGTGAAATGTCTCATCAGGTTTGGCTGCCAAAACGCCCTTTTTTTCTTTTTTTTTTTTCTCACATCTGCCAAAAAAAAAAAGTATTAGCGTGGCACCTCGGGTGGGTTTTGCACTGCCGTAAGTCCCGAGATATTTTCACAGTTTTGGCATCTTTACCTTCGTGAGGATGTGCCCTTGTTCTGAGCACTGAGTGAGTCATTGGGGGAAAAAAAAAATAAAAATCACCCTATATTTGTATGGGTCAGATAAGATTGGAAATGTGTTACTGCTAGAGGAGAGGATTGGTTGACTCTGGTTCTGAGTATACTATTAAAAAAACCAAACAGCTGTTTAAAAACATTTAGTTAGTGTGTGTATGCGTGTGTTAAATGCTGAAACGCTACAGAGCTCTCTCCGTTATTTCTTAAGGGATAGAACACCCATAAAGGTCAGATCTCTATGTTCCCTTTTTTGAAAAGAAAAAGTGCAGGCATGCTATTGTGGTTTTTCAGAGGGTTGGTTTAGAAATATATATATTATATATAGATAGATAACAAAATATGAACAGAAACTGGCTTTTGAGGATCGTGAGCACTTGGTCTTTAAAAAACACTCGCTTGGAAGATAAAAACTGCTCGCTCAGTGCTAAGAGGGCAAACAAGCTGGCGTGGTTATAGGAGGGTTTGGTTTTGACCTTCAGATGCCACATGCATGTATCGGATGAGAGGCAATCTTGAGAAAACACGGTGAATTAATTATTCTCCTCGTCTAGTGGGTGTACGTCTTTCTCCCACAGTTCTCTACAGTGCAGTGGCCAGCAGGAAGTACCACCGATAAGACAGTGTGGTTCGCGAAGCGGTGATGGGAACAGGGAACTACTGTAGTTAGAATTGTTTAATACACCCTGCCACACGTCCGGATCTAAAAGGTTTTGATACCGTATGCGAGTGTGCCATAGATATAGCTGCTAGCAGGTTGGTTACCTAATTGGGTATTCTTTTTTTTGTTTTGTTCTTTTTTTTTTTTCCTTCTGGAAATCTTGAAGCGGCTGTCCAAATTCACGGCCGCGGTCAGCTTTAAATTTGTGAGAACAGCTGAATTTCCAGGTTTTTAGCCTGACTCTTAGAGCCTTTAACCATAACAGATCCCTAAACTGGAAGTCTGACGGGTGCAGTAGGTCTGCAGCGCTTCCTCCTCAGTCAGTCGGTGTTTGCAGTCGATCGCGTTAACGCGGTTTTATTAATTGCTGTTCAGCAGAGTCAATAGACCTTGTAATCCATGATGCTAATCGTAGTCACAGGCAGCGTGTTTTCTGCAGTCTCCTAAGTCCAAATACTCTGGCTATGTACAGGTGACGTGGTAACTCCCTTTTTAATGACGCATGTACAGAGTCACTCGAAGAGGCCTGTAGATGAAGTCGGCTTGACAAATTTCAGGAATCTAGTGCAGAAGCGAAGGGACAGCGAGAGGTGGCGATGCTGACTAATTCCCGGCACGGCACAAAGATGACGATTTGGTGGATAAATCATCCTGAAGGAAGGATGCTATCTTTGGTCACAAATTAGCTTGCTTACAGGGTAAAATAAAAAAAAAAGAATAAAAAAAAAAGAACTGAGAACTCCAAACCAAATACGGCGAAGGGGGAAGAAATGAATTCGCTGCGTCTGCATGAGTAGTGTCTTCGTGGATCACAATGTCTACACCTAGAGGAGACGAATGCTGCGTCCGGGATGGATGGTTGCGTGGTGGTGGCGGGGGGTGGCAGCTTCTCACTTGGCCTCCTGCTTCCAGTCCTCTCTGCAGAAGTGTCGGAGAAGCTGCTGGAGGTCCTGGTGGAGGTCATCGTGTGGGAGTGCTTCTGGCGTGTCTTCCACTTCTTCGATGTGAACGTGTTTGCCATAGCGGTCCTTCATCACAGTCCTCTTCTGTGTGCTGGCTTTATTCAGTGTTGTCCTGTAAGAAAACAGAAAAGTGTATTAGCGAGCCCGTAGTTCCTGAAGGTTTTTTAAAAAAGGGTCTCATTTTAGCTGCAGTCTTCAGGCTTTTTTGTTTAAAAAAATGTGAGAAGGACTGCAGCTGGCAGTTTAAGCCGGCTACTGAGGTCAGCGATTTGTTACGCGTTGGGAATACGAGACATGGGGCAGCTTTAACTGGCTTTCACCGTGTCAGCTCCCAGCAATTCACCTCTGTACACTGATTAAACACCTGGGTTTAGATGCCCAGCAAACCCATGCCGTGACACAGACGTGCAGCTGTGCACGTTCTCTAATCGCGGCCTCTTTTGCAACTGGCTGAGATGTTTCCAGCGCATCTATCCGGGGAAGCGTTAGTAGTCATCTTTAGTACTCCTGCAGAACAAGCTGGGATGGTGACAGTAGTTTTACTTAAGACACTCATTTAAATCCACTCATTTATTACGAGTTTGTTAATCCTTTTCTAGCAACAGTTCGTTAACATGCCAAGCCAAACCTTTTAATAACTGAGCCGTCCTCTTTCATGATTTCTTTCTCTACTAAGGCGGGGAGTTGGACTTTCATATGGTTACCTGTATAGCTCAAAGCCTCAAATTAAAACAAACTTGAAATTAAAACAAAACCGAAAAACCTAGGAGAGAAGGTAATTGTTCTTTATGCTTTAGTGTTTTTATAGTAATAAAGTAGAACGGTGAAAAAATGATGACTAGACAAGTAACAGAAGCATCTGTGTGCCATTTGGATACTTTCAAATATTCCTCAAACGTATGGAGTAGAGTTTCTTGAATAGAATAGTTTAGTTGTACTAATAATTATACTCCAACACGTTGTGGGACTTGGTTTTTGACTTTGAGCCTCAAGGCTAGTGAAATATGAGAAGCAGGGAATGGAGCCCGGCCAACTCTCTGACAGTGTATCTGCTATTAGTGACATTTCATACAAAACAGAAAAATAGGGGAAAAAAGACAACATATTTCTTGTCTTTTTGGCTGGATATGAGTTTGTCTGGGGTAGCTTGTGCACGCTTGTGATTTACTAACCCAGAGGCTGCAAGCTGGGAGAAGCAATTTCTTGGAAACTCTGCACAATGGTTTTTGCTGCCTGTTTTGTTGTTGTCAGAAGAGAGGGGATCCAGCTGCTGGGCCTGTAGCGGTAACAGGAAATTTGCCATCTCAATCTCACAGCCTAGCACTTGCTTTTTTCCTCTTTTCCTGCTGGCTCTAATGCCTTTGTACAGTAGAAAATAGCCAGACAGTGATGTTGTTGCACATATGCTTTTACATGGTATTTTGTCCGAGCAAAAAAAATCCCAAACCAAGTACCCGAGTTGTGTTTAATGACACACGACTTTTATCCGTGTGACTGATAGGGACATTAAAATGGACTGAAAAAGCCCTTTATACAATTAAAATATTACTGAAAGGTTTAAAGTGATCAGCAAAAGGATACATTAATCTGTGATGCTACAATGGTACACAACAAAAATATTGGACTGAGCAGAATGTGTGCCCTGTGATGCTTGGGTTTAGTATTTCTATGAAGAAGGAGTCTCTACCTTTTCAAAGTCCTCTTTGGCAGATGGCAGACCAGTAGCTAAGCTGGCATCCCCCAGGTGTTTCTCCATTCTCTCTCCCTGCACTACAGTGGTCTTGATGACTTTGCTGACCTTCCGGCCTTCCACGGGTTCTGACTGGAATTCGGAGGCACTAGGCAAAACGGCAGGTTCAGACAGGGTCACCTGTAAGGCCAGAAGCAGAAGCAGACTGGATATGAATTACATAAGGGATACTGACAGAGCTTTTGCTTCCTCTATTGGTTTTTTTCTCTAATGCTTTTAGAAAATTTTTTCTTGTTACCGTGCTCCTCGAGCATTAATTCTAATGAACTGCGATCGTGTTGATAGTGTTTCTAAGGAGTGCTGGTTAAAAGTTGATTCCTGGTGCAGTACTGCTGAAAGCGACCCCTGATACAGCTTCTGTGTCACAACCTGAATTGTGCCGCTAGAAATGGTGAACTAAGGCAGGAAAAGAATCAACTGAGAGGCACTTACCTTCTGGGTTGGTTTTCCTTTTTAATTAATTGGCTCTACGAACAGGTCACATCAAAGTTACTTTTTTTTGGCCTCTTTAAAGTCAAGAACATACCTAGGTGTAGTATGCGGGGTTTATATGGTACGTATTATATTAGGTATACATGGTACATTAGGTTAAACCTGATGTAACTATAGTTTTAGAATGGTTAAGCTATAGAGAAGCTATGGTTAAGCTATGGTTAAGCTAATGGTTAAGCTTAAGTTTAAGAAGATCACATGATTATGATGTCTGTTTTCTTATTAGAGTAAGAAAGACGTGAAGACCACGTTCAGATTTGCCATTTATCTATGACATAGTACAAAGCTTCTTTATCAGTTTGGTACTTATAAACCGCAGAATCTGTATCCTGACTTAGTTTCAGAGCCAACTGCCTTCTTTCCCTGCCCACTTGCTCACCCCCTGCATTTTCACCATGTTTATTCTGAGGACTTTTGACACAATTTCCTACCGTATCGATGTTTTTGGCAGGTCCTGCGACTTTGTACCATGGCAAGGAGAGCCCAAGATCTCACCTCTGACTGTTCGCTGTCGCTCTTCAACACAACCCGTTTTACAACTTTGGAATAGCCATCTCCTTCTTCGACGGTGACAGGTGGTTGTGGTGCTCCTTGCATGAGGACTTCTTCTTTTTCCGTGCCGTCTGGAGAAACATACCGCCGGATGATCTTTCTAGTGACCTGAAGTAATAAAGTAGAGCTTTTAATAAAGAGCTTATTCCCTTTTCATCTCCATATCTTCTTATTTTCAACTCAAAATGCATTTTTTTTTCCTAACCAGGAATACCTGCATTCATGGTTCAGGGTTTTAGCATTCACCATAGTCATACCTGCAGCTGGCAAGTTTGAAGTTGATACATTTGACTTACTTAAGTTCCAGTACAGCAAAGCTTCCCTGAACTTGCTTCACAAGTAGGAACAATCTGGATGTTGGAATGACTCTCTAAAGCAGCAGCTATGATTAGGAAAAGGGTTGTAGTATTTTAGACAGAAAAGGTACTTAAATTCTAGAAAACATTCTCAGACTGGCGTTTTCAAGAAGGCTTCTCAAGGTAAGTGGTTTGCTAGGAACAGAAGGTTGAGAGCAGACCGAATGTTTTAGTTGTTGCTGCAAAAACAAAGGACTCCTCAGTGTCCTTGCTAGTGTGCAGGTACATGAGGAGCTGGCCAGAGGGACAGACCCAAGCCGGAATAATGTGGATTGCACAAGGTCAGGCTCAGTAAATCCATGAGGGTGGGCTGGGAAGCGGGAGCTCCTCTGGGAGTGTGGTTTTTAGGATTTATTTCTTCTCCAGGACCTCTAGCTGGGCAGAGGAGAGTGCAGCAAAGCAGATGTGAGGTGGTCGGCTGCTGGCTGGCTTTGAAAATGTAGCAAATAATGTTGACTATCTCTGGGCTGTTGAAATTCATGTGTCAAAGTGTCTGATGCTTTGTTGATAGCTAAAAACCAAACAGATAGCTGCCCCAAGGCTGGGCAGTTGGGAGTGGTAGGGTGGGTGAGAACAAAAAAGGCCTGGAACGATGGGCACCTCCAGTTTTTAAGGAATTAACTACTGAACAAGTGAGGTGTCTAGATGAAGTTGTGATGTGTGATTGTGGGGTTGGTGTGTTTTCCAAAAGAAAAAAAAACGCACTTTAAAAAAAAAAACACTCGTGGATCTATGCAGACTTTGTTTTTGGCTTTAAGCAGGGGAAAAATAACAACGTGTTATGTTATAAGGTGTTTGAAGTTGTAAAGTAAAACAGAAAGATGCTGGGAATTATAGTAATTGTTGCAACTTTGGACCCAAGAACAGAAATTCTGGTTCCTTCTCTGTTGTAAAATCACGGCCCTTTACAAAAAAAATTTAAAAATTGTGTCTTGATGTATGGATCCTTTGTTTTGTAGGACAGTAAGAAGGCAGGAAGGGGCATGACTTATGACAATACCTTCTTTACCACTGTGTGGCCGTGTTCATCTGTGTATTGCTCTTCGGTGACTGTTTCAGGTGGCATGTCAGGCACGCTGTCGGCCTGTGTGGCAGAGAACAAAGTCGTATGAAGCAAGGCCTTGATTAGCGAACTGGAAAACCGCTTATGGGGAAATTGCCCAATTGGTTAAAGAGCGAAAGAAAAATATTCTGCAAATAAAATTACGAGAAAGGCATGCGAGGAACAGTTATGCCAGACCAGACAGGTAAATGCATGTTAGTTGACAGTGTTGTGTGTGGGCTGAGAAGTCTGTGTATTCCTCCTGCTGGAGCAGTGTCCTAGCCTGAGTTAGGGCAGAACTCGCTCAGTGCCTGCCTGGAAGCTTTTCTGATTGTAACTGTTTCACTGAAGTTGCTGAAGTTGTTTGAGTAAGTATTTATTTGGGGTGGTTCTTCTAAAAAAAAAAAAACCAAAACCCCAAAACAAACAAACAAAAAATAAAGAAAAAAGTAATATTCCTAAGAAAATAATTAAATGTGTACAAATCCATGTGAAACAGAACAAAAACTTTAAGTTGCCACTGCAGATGGGGCACCCGGGATATCTCAGGCTCGACTTGGCAGCAGCTGTGACCCGGATTTGGCAACGCACGGCTTGGGCTGGACAGAGGAGGGATGGACAGAGTCTTCTGTGGACATCAGCCACTGGAAGAGGGCTTGACACCTGGGATGCATCAGCTTTATGCAGGAAGTCACATACTTGGTATGAAATACTTGGTTGACTGGCTTTGGGTCACCTGTCCCGTGTGCTCCTCAATGCAGGTGTGGCATTTCTACTTAGGATCTGTTAGTCTTAATACTTCCAAGAGTTACACAAATCGAGCGGCGACCTTTGTTTCTACAGGACAGGCATAAAAAAGAGTCTGTGCACAGCCATGCCTAGCAGTAACTGTAAAATTGTGGTCTCAGTTTTAGAAGCAGACAAAGTCTTTCAAGTAATGCTGTTAACTTCAGAAAGCGTGGTCATTTAGTCTTAACTGAAAAATCAAGTTAGTGAAGGCAGAACTGGTTATGTTGCAGCTCAAGCCAGGTCAGGCATCAAACAGAATTTAGACTTGTGTTGTTAGTACTGTTGTAACGGGTCGTGCGTCGCTGGGGACCGGTCCAGCCTCGGGTACGCCACAGCAGCGTGCTCAAACGTGTCACCGCAGCCCGGCCACCACGGACTCGTGCAGTCGTTCAACACTCGGTACCTGAATGATCACGCGGCGCCGAACGATTCTGGTAGTGACCATGTCGTCCTCATCGGAGCTGAAATCCAGCTCGCCTAATTCCTTCGCTAACTCCTGCGGGAAGCACGGAAGCAGTGCTCTGTTGTGGGAGGTACTACTGGTTCTTATGGGTTTTGTCGTGGTTTTATGGAAAACCAGATTTACTGCTGAAAATGTTTGTCTTTAGGATTTTGGTGTCTTACCTGACTGTGAAACAAAGTGTTTAAAACTTGTATATGGTGTATTTCTTTTGTATTTTATAGAGCTGTTAGGTAACATGCGCTCTGTATTGAAGTGTAGCGAGATTGCCGAGGCAATACATTTGGCAACGTAGAGAAGTTTGTTTCTGGGAGATGTGCACAGAGCAAAGCATTTGTGCTTAAGTGTGCTCTCTCTACTGCCTTGCCTGTTACAAGTGATTACTTGCTCAGGTAAGCACTCTCCTTCTCTTCTGCTTAGTACAGGCAAGGGAAGCTGTTTGTTCTTCAACCTTTGTCTGTCATGAGAATCCCTACTCCTACTACCTATCCACTTGCTTTCGTCCACTGCCTCCTGTCTTTCCAAATGTGGCCCTGAGGCTTCTTTCTCTCA